GATGAATGACAATTGAATTCCTACTATCAATATGTGTAGATGTAAATTGAAGGATAGTAAGAGAGAACTGTTTAAGTAGTCCAGATTGATTAGAGATGATGTCAGTCGAATCGATTTCAGCATAGTTTGTTACATTGATGTCATTCCTACGAAGGTTGTTTCCACTTGAATATACTATGGACTTCTAACTGCGAATAAGGCTGAACTGCAAGATATCTATCAACGCAGGAGAGAAGAATATACGTATATACATAAGAATTACATGGCTGTAAATATCTTCATGCTCGTTATGATTTGAAGTGTGAAAAACAAAGTATCCCACATGGCAATGTGAATCTGAGAGCATGCCATTATACACCGCCAATTGATCGAATACCCGGAAGACTCTTATTTCAACCAGTTGTGTTTGTTTAAGTGTGCTTCTGTTCATGCTTGAAAAGTCGATCAGATTACCTCTGGCTTCAGCGTTAAGTAAATCACCATTCCAAATGAGATGTAATCTGACCAGGGGATAATGATCAAGTGGTTTCTCTTTGAAAACCGACCAGTCGAATCCTATGTTATGTACATATGTACTCTGAGATTGTGAGCATTAATGGCCAAATTAGTCGTATAGGGATGATAATAACGAGATTGACAATGATAATAATTCTATGAATAACGTAGTAGAAAACTTGTAGTGATCTGTTATATCACGAATAATAGAATTCCACATGGTTACAGAAACAAATGTTCAGGTGTAAGTAGTCCATGAAGTCCGAGAAAATTACAAAGTCCTATTATGGAGGTAATTGTGGGTAGACGGAAGTCTGGATGATTTTTATATGTCCATTGACAAATCCGTTTGCGTGATGCTCAGTAACACGTTGGCTCAGTTGTCTAGTAGAACGCGCTACATATCTGTCACCCAAGGAGAAGTTGGTTTGATGAGTGCACAAACTACACAAGAAGTAATAAAAACACGAAAATACTCGACACCTCGATGACGCCGACATTGAAAGTCGTATACTACTTCATTTTATCTATCGCGTAGGAAACATGTCATGTTTGAAAGAATGTCCAAACTAACTTTCAATTTGACGTTTGTTTCCTTCCTAGTAATATGCGATATTCCCATGACAACCGATTTGACGAAAAACACCATGGTTTATTTCCAACAGAGTGACGCAGGATACACTCGCGAATATCGCACAGGGAAGTCAGTGTGGTTGGGAGGTGGGTTGAAAGGTCAGTGTAGATCTGTGATCAACGAGGTGAGAGTGGAATGTGAAACACGGACGTGACGAAATATCCAGTTCTAAAGTCGCCAATCCACGTCTTCAGATAGTGAGACATTCTTAGACCTTCCATTTGAAACTTTCAAGTTCCTTGCAGTTAATGTGGGGAGAAACCGATTGGAGTGACATCTTCTGTTCAGGAGACATCTCATTCAAAGACGATCTCGGTCAATGCAGTTCCGAACTGACGCGTGAGCGAAAACGTACGAATATTTTCTACCTGTCCATCACCATTACCAAAGGAGGGGTGTTGTATACTTTTATATTCTGCCAATATCCAGTAGAGGTAACTAGGAACGCACGATCTAGAACAGAAGTGGTGATCACTAATGTCGTCTGTCCACGACAACAACGTATAAAACCCCTACCTGATTCCTCAATCCGCCACCTAAGTGATAATACACAATGAGGTGGGACACAAAGCACTCCCAATAAAGGAAAGAATAGTATGTGTAGGGAACAAAGAGACAAACAATACGAACACGAGGCAGGGACGTAGGTGTGAGCACCCATAGTCGATTGACTGTCTGTCTAGGTATTCACAAGACAACGGACCAGTTCATTGTCCACACAAACCATCGATCCACATGTCATATGCCGCTAACATTCTCTTATCTTCGACTATGAAAACCTCAAAACAACCGTATTTTGCAGTCATGGTGCCTTTTGTATTCACCACTCCCTGTGAAGACTGAACTCATTGTCCACTAGGTCGTTTCATAGTTTACAATAGATGTTCAAACCACAGAATCATCGTAAGATATACATGAATTAAAGGTATTTGAGACAATCAGCGTTTTCCGCTGACTCCCTATTGAGTTTCTACGGGTTTTCAGGTACACGAATATTATCACATATATTGCCTGATCAAAGAGAAGGCGTGAACATCAAAAACAGTTGCATTGTGTAGAGAATCGAATGAGTGTGCACTGAAAACATGATGAGATGATGTCAGGCTGTCAGTTCTGATCACTGGTCAGGAAATATATGTGGAAATATATGGAAGAATGTGGCACCAAGCTTTTGTGATTGTGCAATTTGTGCTCAGAATGGAGGATGTCGGTCTCGTCGGGTGACATGTAATTTATGGGACGAGAGAATGCATGAATGGCAAAAACAAAAAGGATATTCCTGATGTTAACCTGGAAAGTGGAAAGCGGTGAATTGCACTGGTAGCAGTGAAATGATCGTGCGATACAAAACATCTGGTTTGAAAGCGAGTAAGCTAGACAAAGGGAAGGTAACAGTTAGCCGGCTGGGTTAGAGGCTGGTCGAAGTAGGCATATTCTCAAAGTACCTACTGAATGCATAACTTCCGTTCGGTGTGGTCAACCTCTATGGATTCCTCCATTCTTAGTGAATTCAATTATATCCGAATGTCTCTTTGGAAACCCGTGTCAGAATGCACAATACTGTTTAAAGTGAATCTAGTAATATTAGCAATGATAAGCGAGAGGTGGAGACGCTAATTCAGTGTGAAGATACAACTCACAACAACATGTATTTCTCTCGCATACGATGAATCGAAGTAAACGCCTAGGTTTATGCATGCGCACCAGTGAAGTTGTGAGGAAGATGATTTGAGCTGTGTAACAATAGGAGTGTGAGAAAACACGCTGCATCCGTGCCACACACACATATGTAAATATACTTCAATAATATACAGAAGTCAACGCTTGTGGTTTGAAAATCTTCCTCAAGATTCCAATGAAGAATTCGAAGAAAAGAGAGACAAGACACTGAGCAGTGTAAAGCCATCGATCAGAAACCTAAGACTGCACACCACTTCTATATTTTCAGCAGTGGAATTCGAACAATTCCAGATTCTTATCACGTCAGTGTATCCACACAGAAATGTGTCCTCACTTCTGGTCCCTAATTCCTTGGAGAATCGTGTCTTCTCCTTTCTCAGGGAAATTTGAATCGTTTCGACTCGCAAAATGCACGCCCAACAAATCAGTTTGTTTACTTTAGCGGTGTATATTAACAATATCTTCCATTGAGTTGTCCCATAGGCACACTACCAAGTGTCTAGATGGATTGAATGGCATTGCCTTCAGTGCGACACATGTTTTGAATGTTGGGTGTATTCCTCCTCGAATATCAAGACTCTCTTATGCGCAGTGATTAGTTACTAGGCTCCTTGAATAAAGCGCTCGCGATAGTCGACCTTTTGTGATGCATTTTTCGGTGAGGAAATTCATTGATAATGCACACAATTTCGCTCAGTCAGAAGGTCCCTGTAGGATAGATCTTCACAAAGTAAATGTTCAACCAGAACACATGTCGTTCTTAATCCATAATGTGAATCAATCTCATTTGAGAAGCTGAGGGATACAAAGCTAAAGCCAGAGATAATCTATCCAAAGTTAATAGCATAAAACGAAATAACACTAAATCAAGCCTACAGATGGTCCGCTCAATCGGCGGTGTACAACGTCATGCTCACGGATTCACATTGTTTTGTCAGATACTTCATTGGTCACACATGAAATCACCACGAGCCTGAGGACATTGTCAACTATGCTGTTCACCACTCCCTGACAGTCTCGTCTATGTCTATGCAAGACTCATTAGAGGACTGTTTCTACATTGGAATCTTCGGAGCAAATTTTGCCTTGAAGATTCTCATTGAGTGTCGGAAGTACAGCTCAAAGTAATGATAGTATCACATTTCGAGACGTCTCCCTAGCAAGGAAGGAAGATGACACACTAAGAATGAGTGTGTACAAAAAGCCTACAACAAGGGGTCTGTACACACATCTCAGTTGTATACCTTTTCAATATGAACGTAACCTGGTAAAGTGTCTGGTTCATTGAGCTAGGTTAATCTGTTCAAACGACCGCTTCAATGAGGAGCCTAATATCACTAGAGAATTACTCAGAGAAAATGCCTATTCAGATAAGTTCATTGAGAAAAATATGAATTCATCAACTAGGAGAGTCAGTATGGCAACAGTTCCGAGAAAAACCACTATTCATAAAACTGCAGTTCCTCGGTGACACCATCAGCGGAATAATAACACAGTGCGTGAAGAATGCAAATAAGAGAGCTTATGATGCAGCAGATGTACGTTGTCTCTTCACTACCACCCATATTCTACATTCGAGAAATAAGGATAAATCAACCAAATTTGCCTCCTCTCTGTGTATCTACCAATTTGACTGCAGCTGCGGAGTCAGCTACATCGGGTGAACAATTAGGTAGCTTCATCATCATATTTCCGAACATCGTTCAGCATGGTTAATCAAGGGACAAACAAGATCTATTCGTAGCTCTGTTTCAGCCCACATTGTAGATGGTGAGCATAGGGTTGTGTTTAATACAGCATTTAAAATTATGTATCACATTCCTAGTCATCTCGATCTTGCTTTGTGAGTTCGTCTTCTACATACGGCTGAAACCATAGGAATCCACCTGAAGAAATCAAACCTGTGTGCTCAGAAGAAATTTGTACAGCCACTTTGCTTATCTTGGCCACCGCTACATGAATGTCTAAGCAGGACTACTTCGACCCTCTCCACTTGAATAATTATCCAAATTATTTTATTATTTTCCTGACTACTCCCTATTCAGTTGCAAGTTATTCTTGTCCAAATCGTTTTATCTCCCTTAACAATCTGCTACACAGTCAAATCGAGCACAAGCTTATTTCTGCTTCTCATCAAACAAAGAATAGTCAAAAAGGCGAACGACATCGATATCACTTCTACTGCCCTGGTGGTAAAAGTAACACAAATTATTATGAACAGTTGATATCAGAATGGAAGACGACATCACAACTCTGAGTATATTTCAGTGTAGAGAAACGAAAGTGGAAAACATACTTCAGTGTAATGACTGGTTAAACAATGAGTTCTTGTCAGAATAATCAGGAGAAATGTCAGAATATATAGAGAGCATTAAGTATTTGTTGTTATTTGATTATATCATCAGAATAGAGTTATGCATAAAATTAAAGAAAGTGATTCTTCTCCACTTCATCCAATCAATTAGTTGGTTAATATGAATACAGGTAAGACAATTAGTCCGTGAAAATAATGCCTGAACGTATTCTACATGCAATGTCAGTGAATGAAAGGAATTCACAAAGTGAAATCGAAGATATATGCAGAATTTAACGCTGGATAACTCGGCGACACCGGAATTAATCCAAATTACTGAATTTCTCGAGATCGAATTCCATCGGTGTGTGTCTCACGCTTTCCAAATATTCATACGCAGTCTGTATTAGGTGCGTTTCCTCTTCATCGTAACAATGTTTCCACTCAGCTTTCAGTTGGTCACCAAGGTAACACAAGAGTGTTTTCACTGTGCAAATTTTGTCTTCTGTGCATTTCCCCATAAAATCACTGCTATCCATATTTACAGCATCCTTCATTGAGGACAAATCGAATTCAGGATTGGGAGTTGCTGTAGAGAGAATCAGATAAATGCAGTGAATGTATTTGAGAGGAGGAAACAATTCCACTCTATCATAAAATGCATATAACTCAAATCATCACCTGAACAAAGTATAACTATGGATTGCTTAACGTCTATGAAGGGCGACATTAGAAAACCAGCCAGTGTTGCCAAATTTGCATAGATTGATGTATGAAGAGTAATGAAATCAGTTCGTCATGTTGTAATCACGGTGTTCGTCGATATGGAACAGGATTTATCACTACCGAATTTCACTTTCAAATGTCTGTCTGGTGAGTTAGCGAAGACGTCAACACCAAGAAGTTATCTCACCTCTCTCTCAAACAATCACACCTACTTCGTATACGGCGGTGAACAGACAGAGGAATCAACCAACATATAACCTATCAAAGCTGTGTATGTATGTATCAGATTAGAATGCAATACTTCGATAGAGGACTGATGGAAGAGTACAAGACTACACTGGCACTACAACTGATATACACGAGTGTAGAAGAGGGACTAATTTCACTGAGTGTGCTGATGTGAAAGTATGCTTGTCATGTCATGTTCGTTGGAGGAAGAGGGGGACAAACTTCCCTTTGACCTATATCGTGTTCTCCACTGTTGTCGACATTTATACTAGAGACGGTATTGATTCGTCCAAGTAAGTTGTGAGTGTATTCAAACATATTTCTAGACACATAAATCTACGTGTATGTAGGTATAGAGACGGTAAGATATTATGCACATACTGATGAGGGCTGGACATCACTCATACTCCTACATCCAGTTGAGGGCTTACGGCGAGCTGTCATCTGAACTGATGACGACCAGTGGTGTCCGTCAAGGATGCCCATTATCTCCTTTTCTATTCAACTTCATCATAGATGTGTTAATGGACTTAACCCTAGGTGACTTCAGTGACTCAGGGATTGACTTGCTACCGGGGAATAATCTCGTTGACTTGGAATATGCAGACGATATAGTCCTTCTAGGCGAAGACGCTGACGAAATGCAGAGTCTTCTAAACACCTTGAGCCGCAATCTACGAATGTTTGGCATGCGATTCGCTCCAGCCAAATGCAAGATGGTGTTACAGGACTGGACTACATCGACGCCTAGTTTAAAAATAGGAAGTGAAGTGGTAGAGCACGTTGACCGCTTCACTTATTTGGGAAGTACCATCAGCCCCAACGGGCTGATCTCTGACGAAATCTCAGCACGAACACAAGGGGCTCGTTTCGCATTTGTTAGTTTACGCCGACTCTGGCGTAGACGAGATGTTCGACTATCGACCAAAGGGCGGGTGTACTGCTCATCAGTCCGCTCCGTCCTCCTTTATGGTTGTGAGACCTGGCCACTGAGAGTGGAAGACATGAAAAGACTAGCTGCCTTTGATCATAGGTGCCTGCGTTCTATTTCCCGTGTAAAGTGGCATAATAAGGTGAGCAACATGGAGGTTAGGCGTAGAGTTCTAGGTAAACAGGGGAAATCAATCGACGAAGTCGTGAAGCTACATCGACTGAGATGGTTAGGACATGTGTTACGTATGCCAAACCATCGCCTCCCTCGACGAGCAATGTTAGCGGATATAGGGTCAGGCTGGAAAAAAGCTAGCGGCGGTCAAACAAAAACTCGGAACCAGTCAATGAAATCCATAACAGTTGGTCTAAGCCACGTAGAAAGGTGTAGACTTCCAGGCTGGGGTCCTCGGGACGGTAAAAATCTATGGCTGGAAACAATTGGTGACATGGCTCAAATCCGTTCTCAGTGGCGCAGATGCATCCACTCCCTGTGACTTATGATCTCCAATGAAACTGTTTTGTATTTCTTTATTACTCATTTGTCTCACACCTCTCCTCACTGTTTCTATTATGCTTTTCTTGTACATTCTTCCCTTGCTTCGCGTGCTACACGGAATGTGGCGACTTGAACTTCCGCACATTTGTGCAAAGTTCTATGTCGAAAACAGACAGACACACAGGACATAACTCATAACGGTAACATTCTGTACACTTGTTTGTCGTAGCTCAGCTGGCACAGCATCCCTCTACTCAACCTGTGGCTGAAGATTCAATTCGTGCAGATATCCACAAACTCTTCACATCATCAATCATCACTTTTAACACACGCATATCAAAAATATTCAAGATTAATATTCAAGTCATTCAATTTCACTTCAGTAAAATACATTAAACTCACGGTTGAGAATATCACTTTTAGTTTTGTTCAAACATGTTTCGAATTGCTTTCTAGCCTCGCATTCCGTATGCGTTTCATTAGATTTACACTCGTTTAAAAGACACAAGAGCACTGTCACCTGTGATAAAAAATACAAACATAGAATGAAATATCCTTCAAAGAAAATCAGACAACATACGCTGAAGCAGACGAATACAGTTTTCACAGATGCGTTAGTTCTCTCCATTTCCCAATATACACGACAATGTAAATATACTTCAGATGGTATACACCAGTTAACAATATGCACTCTACATACGTATATATATATATATATACATATGTGTATCTATGAGAAAACAAAACAAGCAGGTAGAGTACACGTAGATATCTGCTGATACACTGACCTCTTCTTATTCTTCTTAATTAATGAGTAAATTCCTTTTGTAGTAATTATCTGACCATTATTTCTCTGAGAGATATACTATGTGCTTTCTGCTTCTAGCTAATTAGGTATCAGCTAGATTTTCAACTTAACTAACTAATCAATGAGTATTAATGTGGCTTCAGTATGGCAAGTGGTTATCACGTTTCGTCTTCTGTGCGTGTAGAGCTTCAGCATCTACTCCTTCGCGAATACTGATAATGCTTTCACGTATGAAGAACGTTGAATACTGATATCAGTTTTGATTATTTTAGAAATGAAGTCAAAGATATCACTGGTTTTATATTGCAGAATGTTTTTGTACAAAGCTACTAAAATCTCAACCACAAACTTTGCTGGTCTGTGAAGTGTGGGTTCTAGATATCTATAACTAATCGAGGAGGAAGAGCAGTCTTGTTCAGTTTGTTATTATTATTTATTATTGTCCCCTTGGCTTCCTAGTGGAACATAGGGCTTCAACTGCACGTCTCCACTTGCTTCTGTCTTCTGCTGTACTTTTCGCCTGCATCCATGTTAGTCCATACTCTTACAACTCCTCTTCACACGATCTTCTCCATGTCACCCTTGGAATTCCCACTCGCCGCTTCCCTTTCGGGTTCTACTCGAGGGCTTGACGCACGATGTCACTCAGCGGCCTCCTCAGCAGCGAGTGTCCGATCCATCTCCACTTTCTCCTGCATATTTGTTCCGCGATTGATTCTTGCTTTGTTTGTTCCCATAATTCCTTGTTGGTGATTCTTTCCGACCATCTGATCTTCAGTATTGAGCGAAGACAGTTGTTAATAAAGGTCTGCAATAGCCTTTTGGAAATATTCTTTGTGACCCGCCCATCAAGTTTCTGATCCGTATTTGTATTGAAAATCCGAATTTTGTTGGTGATGCTGAGTGACGAAGATTTCCAGATTGATTTCAGGTTGATGAATGTGTTTCTCGTCTTCCCGATTCTCGCTCGATTTGACATCCTCGTCCATTCCAACTGCCTGTAGTTGAGACAATGCTCCCTAGATCAGTGAGTGGATGAAGTAACCTCTTTCGAATCCCTCCCGTTGATGGTGATTGACGTTGGATGTTGTTGCTGTTGTTGGTTGGTTATTTTCATAACCTCCGTCTTGTCTATGTTCACCTGGAGTCCTGTCTTCGCCGGCTGCTTCTTCGACCAGTTTGTCGGTCGGTTTTGCTTGCAAGTCTTCGATTCTCGATATCAATTGCTTGATGTGGATGAAGCGGACGTCGAGAAAGTAGCGTGCTAAGAAGGACAAACGACGTTTCTACGACAGCCTCGTCACTGAAGCTGAGAAGACAGCAGGAAAAATGGACCTGAGGACACTATATCAGATAACCATGTATCTATCCGGGAAGAGATCAACACAAGCAAAACCTATAAAAGACAGCCAAGGGAACCCAGTTACCAAGGAAGAAAGACAGATTAAACAATGGGCTGATCATTTCAAAGGACTCTTGAACCGACCACCACCTGCAGCACATCCAGAAATACCAACAACAGCGCGCACACAACTGCAAGTTGACACCAATCCTCCAACGAGAGCTGAAGTCTTGAATTGAATCAAACTTCTGAAAGCTGGAAAAACAGCCGTACCTGATTGAATACCCATTGAAGCACTGAAAGCAGACCCAGAGACGACAGCAGACATGCTGACTCACTCCATTATTGCAAAAGGTCTGGAAGGAGGGAAAGGTGCCTACTGACTGGAGGAAAGGTTACCTCGTGAAACTACCAAAGAAGGGCGACTTACGACTCACTCAGCAAGATCTGGCGAGGAATCATGCTCCTATCGACGCCAAGTAAAATCCTGAGTCGCGTCATCCTGGAGAGATTAAAGGAGACACTGGAGACTGAACTCCGACCAGAACAAGCTGGGTTCAGGAAAGTCAGGCAAATCATGTACTGATCAAATTGCAACTCTACGCATCATCATCCCAGAACAGAGCATGGAATGGCAATCAAACCTCTACCTCAACTTTCTAAACTTCGAGAAGGCCTTAGACAGACAGCGTTGACCGTGAAGTAATTTGGATACTACTCATGTACTACGGCGTACCCCAAATATTCATCAACCTTATTCAACAGCTGTACGACAACGGCACATGTCAAGTCATCCACAACGGGAAACTCAGCGAGGCGTTTGGAGTAAACACAGGAGTCAGACAAGGGTGCCTGCTTATTATCCCCAATGATATTCCTAATTGTGGTGGACTGACTGGATTATGCATCAGACAGTGCGTGGAAACGAGAAGACAGCAATATCCTGGACCGACGTGAAGAACCCAGAAGACCTGGATTTCGCGGATGATTTACGTCTGGTGTCACACACAATCGAAGACCTACAAGCGAAAACCGACCGACGAACTGGTCGAAGAAGCAGCCGGCGAAGACAGGACTCCAGGTGAACATAGACAAGACGGAGGTTATGAAAATAACCAACCAACAACAGCAACAACATCCAACGTCAATCACCATCAACGGGAGGGATTCGAAAGAGGTTACTTCATCCACTCACTGATCTAGGGAGCATTGTCTCAACTACAGGCAGTTGGAATGGACGAGGATGTCAAATCGAGCGAGAATCGGGAAGACGAGAAACACATTCATCAACCTGAAATCAATCTGGAAATCTTCGTCACTCAGCATCACCAACAAAATTCGGATTTTCAATACAAATACGGATCAGAAACTTGATGGGCGGGTCACAAAGAATATTTCCAAAAGGCTATTGCAGACCTTTATTAACAACTGTCTTCGCTCAATACTGAAGATCAGATGGTCGGAAAGAATCACCAACAAGGAATTATGGGAACAAACAAAGCAAGAATCAATCGCGGAACAAATATGCAGGAGAAAGTGGAGATGGATCGGACACTCGCTGCTGAGGAGGCCGCTGAGTGACATCGTGCGTCAAGCCCTCGAGTAGAACCCGAAAGGGAAGCGGCGAGTGGGAATTCCAAGGGTGACATGGAGAAGATCGTGTGAAGAGGAGTTGTAAGAGTATGGACTAACATGGATGCAGGCGAAAAGTACAGCAGAAGACAGAAGCAAGTGGAGACGTGCAGTTGAAGCCCTATGTTCCACTAGGAAGCCAAGGGGACAATAATAAATAATAATAACAAACTGAACAAGACTGCTCTTCCTCCTCGATTAGTTATAGATATCTAGAACCCACACTTCACAGACCAGCAAAGTTTGTGGTTGAGATTTTAGTAGCTTTGTACAAAAACATTCTGCAATATAAAACCAGTGATATCTTTGACTTCATTTCTAAAATAATCAAAACTGATATCAGTATTCAACGTTCTTCATACGTGAAAGCATTATCAGTATTCGCGAAGGAGTAGATGCTGAAGCTCTACACGCACAGAAGACGAAACGTGATAACCACTTGCCATACTGAAGCCTCATTAATACTCATTGATTAGTTAGTTAAGTTGAAAATCTAGCTGATACCTAATTAGCTAGAAGCAGAAAGCACATAGTATATCTCTCAGAGAAATAATGGTCAGATAATTACTACAAAAGGAATTTACTCATTAATTAAGAAGAATAAGAAGAGGTCAGTGTATCAGCAGATATCTACGTGTACTCTACCTGCTTGTTTTGTTTTCTCATAGATACACATATGTATATATATATATATATATACGTATGTAGAGTGCATATTGTTAACTGGTGTATACCATCTGAAGTATATTTACATTGTCGTGTATATTGGGAAATGGAGAGAACTAACGCATCTGTGAAAACTGTATTCGTCTGCTTCAGCGTATGTTGTCTGATTTTCTTTGAAGGATATTTCATTCTATGTTTGTATTTTTTATCACAGGTGACAGTGCTCTTGTGTCTTTTAAACGAGTGTAAATCTAATGAAACGCATACGGAATGCGAGGCTAGAAGGCAATTCGAAACATGTTTGAACAAAACTAAAAGTGATATTCTCAACCGTGAGTTTAATGTATTTTACTGAAGTGAAATTGAATGACTTGAATATTAATCTTGAATATTTTTGATATGCGTGTGTTAAAAGTGATGATTGATGATGTGAAGAGTTTGTGGATATCTGCACGAATTGAATCTTCAGCCACAGGTTGAGTAGAGGGATGCTGTGCCAGCTGAGCTACGACAAACAAGTGTACAGAATGTTACCGTTATGAGTGATGTCCAGCCCTCATCAGTATGTGCATAATATCTTACCGTCTCTATACCTACATACACGTAGATTTATGTGTCTAGAAATATGTTTGAATACACTCACAACTTACTTGGACGAATCAATACCGTCTCTAGTATAAATGTCGACAACAGTGGGGAACACGATATAGGTCAAAGGGAAGTTTGTCCCCCTCTTCCTCCAACGAACATGACATGACAAGCATACTTTCACATCAGCACACTCAGTGAAATTAGTCCCTCTTCTACACTCGTGTATATCAGTTGTAGTGCCAGTGTAGTCTTGTACTCTTCCATCAGTCCTCTATCGAAGTATTGCATTCTAATCTGATACATACATACACAGCTTTGATAGGTTATATGTTGGTTGATTCCTCTGTCTGTTCACCGCCGTATACGAAGTAGGTGTGATTGTTTGAGAGAGAGGTGAGATAACTTCTTGGTGTTGACGTCTTCGCTAACTCACCAGACAGACATTTGAAAGTGAAATTCGGTAGTGATAAATCCTGTTCCATATCGACGAACACCGTGATTACAACATGACGAACTGATTTCATTACTCTTCATACATCAATCTATGCAAATTTGGCAACACTGGCTGGTTTTCTAATGTCGCCCTTCATAGACGTTAAGCAATCCATAGTTATACTTTGTTCAGGTGATGATTTGAGTTATATGCATTTTATGATAGAGTGGAATTGTTTCCTCCTCTCAAATACATTCACTGCATTTATCTGATTCTCTCTACAGCAACTCCCAATCCTGAATTCGATTTGTCCTCAA